ACATACTTTTTCTGCTATAATGCAGATAAAGTCACTAAGTACTATAATTCAAAATGAATATTATACTTGGGGAAACCGCCACGAACCGAATGAAATGAATAATTTTCACCCAGTGGTATGCATAAAATGCTAAATCTATCACTACAAGAAATGTATATATTTTTTTTAATCAAAAATGATAAAATGCCTAGAAAATTTAGATAGATCGTACCTGGAATCGCTAAGTCACCACGTGCGTTTTAATGACATTTAGCCTTGCAACACCGAAAAACCATATTTTATTAAACTTAGGAAAACTTTATATGCATTTAGTTATAAAACTGATTGGGCAATGCAGAAATGAGTGAACACAGAGCTATTAAAACATATGTCAAGTGCCTGGTCTTATCCGATTTTCTGCAAAGAAAAGCCCGATAAAACTGCCTTTACATGGATTTTGAAGCAGGATTTCTCCAACAAGTGCTTAGATTCCGGATTACAGACATATTTGAGAAATTAGATGTAAAATACAGTTATATTCTATTCTATCGTTATGGTAGATTTATTAATACTGCTCGATCATCCTATGACGGGAGTTCTAGGAATATAGTTATATAAGTTACTGCTTGTGATTATGATGATGACGTTTCTAAAGGTTCATTACTATAGAATCTCGGTTATTTAAGATAAGTATTTAACATGAATATTTTATACAATATTTCTTGTGACCCAGAGTGTCCTAAAGATATTTGTTAAAAGCGATAGAAATAGAAAAGGATTTTTAAGAGCCTTAAAAGGAATATAATTCACTAAAGTTTTTTAAGGTTGCGGTGGTTCTACATTTTCTAGGTTAAATATAAATAAATGAAGATGATACATATAATAAATATAAATAAATAAAATATAAATAAAAATAAATGAAGAATAGATGCGGTTGTTTAATGTTACCTTGGCGATTTTATGTAGATACGTCTAGAAATTCCCGTAGCCCGTTATCATTTGCAACAGAAGAAAGTCTACCTCTCTTCGAAATCGATTACTCATTTTGATATCGGTGAAAGCACATAAGTGAGAACCTGACTTTTCAGCAAGATTGGTAACTCACTATGCTTTCTAGGCGATCTTTCTTTCAAATTTCTTCGAGCCACGAAAGCCATGTTTTTAAATGTTACTCTCTCGTGAGCACCCAGATCGTCTAAAACTTTCCGACCAGAACTAGAACCACTAGTTTGTAAGCCATTCCGTAGGACTTGAATCTTTCGACTAATACACTGATAGACAAAAAAGGCTGTAGCTTTCGCCGCTTTTGGAGTCCGCACAATATCTGTCGTTTTGCCGCTCTTCCGGAAACCGATCTTCTTACACGTGTAGCCGCTTAGTGGCCGTTGCTGCTACTATATACAGGAATTTCTTGAAGATTTAGAGCACCCTCTGTATTCCAATCAAATCATCCAATTCAGAGGCTCTTTATGGCTTGATTTTTTTGACACCTAGGAACCTCTTCAGCTGTGACTGCCTATATCCAGTCTTTCGGTTACATTGCCGTCTATAGCTCTTCATAATACGCGCAAGAATAAATCCTCTATATTAAAAGTAACTTACTCAGCGTGTTTATCCTCTTCTAGTTAGACGGATGTACTCTTTTTCTTGCTCCGGACTATTCTATATGTTTTACTTGAATTTGTTTTTAGCTGTTTAAGAAAGTCTTTCTAGTATTTCCTCATGCTACTAGCAATCACCAGTACTAGAGCGCGTTGCCATTGCTAATAACACAGAACTAAGTTAGGTATTGTTTCTATGTAATTTCTAGTGTTCCTGATGGCTCTCGTTCCCTAACTTTGTGCAAAGTCCTGGCATTTCAGGATCTTAATAGTAATCCTAGAATAACCAACAGGCAGACAGTCCCGTTCGCAGGCTTTGGTCATGATTTATTAAAATTCAGCAGGACCGTCAGATTTTCGTTCTAATCATGACGCTTATGAACTCTTCCGCATCTCGGGCCTGATGTTAAAAAAAGTTTAGCAAAAGGTGAGCAGTGACTCAAGTGTTACCCTTATTTGTAAGTGTTTGTCATTCGTTAGTCGGCTCTGATTGCAGATTACAATCTGCAATCATTGTACATGTGATTCCTACATGTCGCGATGGAAGGTCGGCTTTCCTGTTCTCAACCGTCAGATTGTCTTCTTTTATCCAGTGTAGCATTAAATGGTTTCTTGTACTTTCAGAAATAGAATTCAAGCGACTCTTGAGCGCTTATATTTTGAGCAGGTTCGTCAGGGCTATCTCCATCGTTTGATTGCGCATACTTATCTGAGGATGTTCCCATACCTCAAAATATGGTAAACATTATCCCGCTGGACACGCTCTACCTGGGTAGTCAGCCGGTCTTTCTAAAAGCTTTTAAAAAGTCGGCCAAGTTATAGAATGGTTTATGCAATTGCCCTCCACGTATTCGTAGCAGTGGATGGTGGCTCCTGGATGGTTTTCAAAATGTGGTCTAATGGTCCTCACTTGAAACAGAGCCACCATTGACCTTCCCGTTTTTGCATTGTTTAGCCAAGTGGTCGAGCCTCTAGCGGCTGAGGTATGCGTGCGAGCCTTTAGGTCTGCAGTTCGAGTTGCCAGTATGGAACAAAAACCCGTGGCTATCTGAAGCTGGGAGGCTAGAAATTGCCAGCTAATCTACTCGTCGGTTAAAGGGTTTTTTTGTAGAAAAAATTATGAAATCTGGTGGATGCAGTTTAGCACGTAACATAGTCCCGGCTTTACTCGCACACAAGAAGAGGTCCGCATCTCGCAAAACCACTATTACAATAGGCTCCGACACACTGCTGACAGGTCGGCTATGTGTTAAGAATCTTAAACACTACAGCTGCAAAAATAAACCCACCATACGACTTGGTCTTACACTTTGATGACAAAATCGTAGTCCATTTTTCCTGACAAAATTAATTTTCACGCTGATTTCTTCTGACTTCGGGCACACGATAACAGTACGGAAAGCATCCTAATAGTCAATACCTCTTTAATGCTGACCCTGGTGGTGTTTTTGAGCACTACTCTGTAATGCCACTAATGTTTGGCACTCCCGAAAGGAGCTGTTCCGCCAAGAATGCCTTAGCCCTTTCTTTTCAGATAAGAGTGAAAAGAAAAAGTGTAAAAGAATAAAACAGACTCGCGCTGTATCCCTGTAACCTGTAACCTGTATTTAAAACACAGCTTGTCAGCTCTGATCGGTCGCCTCCAACGCACACACCGCTCGGCCAAGCACACTAGAACTCCAACAAGCCACGCAGAATCATGTACAAAGTTACCGGATTGGCCATGTGTAATATTTGAGTATCTAGACCAGTAGTGGCAGATTAATAGTTGCCGTTATACAATAGTGTGATATGTTATTCGTATTAATAGAAAAAAATACGCCATTCAGACTTTAATTTAATCATCGTAATGCAAACGGGTTCACGATACACTTGTATAATTTTGTTTCTCTAAGTCTCTGTTGACATTGTGATGTACTTTGGTACCATCAAGGAAGGATAAAGATGTTACTTTTTTTTCTAATTTGGGTCAGCCCGACTATTGTAGAGAGGGCTATGGGAATCGGGGAGAGCGGCTTGCTGATAGCGTAACCACAGGAATGACTGTGATTTAATTTTAGATAGCCCCGTCTTCTGTAATCCAACTTTTCTTTTTCGCTAGGGGGTGTGTTAAGAGTTAACAAAACTATTGTTTTGTTTAATGGGAGATTTTTAAATAAATTATTCTGGTAGGCGACTTAAACGGATAACCTACTAATAAACGTAAAAACCGGCAGCCGCTTTATTGTGTCAAAGAATTTAGTTATGCAACGGTATGGCCTAAAGGCAAAATCGACGGCCTTCATAAAGTGTTTAGGCTTAATCTTAAACGGCGCATAAGATAGTTATGATTTTGTCCGTAAGTTGTGGCACTAAGTACTAAAAAAGCCGAAAAGAAAAAAACTTTTTATTTGAACCCTTGCAAAGACATACAGATTACCGAACTATTCCCAGACCTTTTATTCGGAATGGTACGCCTTTCAATGAAGCACCAGAACGCAAAATTACTTTTAAATTATTTTTTTGTCATGGCTTAGCCGTAGTCCAGAATTCTTCCAAAAAGGACTTTGCCTTGCCTATGTATGGATCACTCTAATAATTTGTATTTTTTTTATTATTTCAATTCAATTTTGGCTTTTTCCACCGATGGTTGCCCCATATGATTGCCACTTCGTCGCTAACGTTTTTGATTCATATACGTTTGACTCTATAAGACGTATTTAATTACGCTCCTAACCACTCAAAAAGTTTTCAACTTACATCTATTATGGTTACACAAGAAGGTCCCCTTATTCGAAGTAGCACCAGTTGATGCTGCTATCCTGTTTTTAGCAAAACATTATCAAAATTGCCCCCTTTCAATTATAGACATTGTCAATATGCAATCGTGTCGTCATGGCTGTTGCCACTTGCTGGTACCATCTGACTTTTTCTGTGCCCGAATCATGCATATTTTTCCACGAAGAGTTCACTATGATGATTAGTTGTTGATGAAAAATTAAACTATGCTAAAAATTATTTATAGTTTGTCTTCGAAAAGTGGAAAAATGTCTGTAAAAATTTTTTTAGCATATAAAGTCCCTATTAATCAGGGCTTTATTAGTGAGAGCTAATTAGGAGTATGAAGCAGTTGAAGGTCAAAGGTACATAGAATGCTCCCTTTTAAGCGTTCGACTACGAGCTATACAACACCTTTTTTCGCTACCCTGCATTATAGATTTTGGGAAGCGAATAAGCATATACATACAATATACAAACCCGAATAAACCGTTATGAATGTTTCTCTGAACCTCACTACTGGGTATTCAGTATTGTGTTTTCATAGTTAGTTTGAGTTCAAACTAGTATTGGCATTCTAAAAATACTTTTCATTCTGCTTCGTGCACTTTTCATTCTAATGTTTCGTATTTTTGTTTCCTTTGTTGTGAATATTTGTCACAGGTTTGGTGCTTAACTGCTGTATTTTTGGTGCCTTAATGCGCCCACTTCAAATGTGGACTACAACAACCGAAAAACCGTTGATGCAACGTATATGGGAGGAGAAAACTGGACTTCTAAGACAGGTGAGTTTACTCGCTCCCGTACGCATGCTAGCAAACTCAACTAATTTATTATTATTTATTGTACTCATAAATATGATTATGATGATGAATATAGAAGTAACCATCATTGTCATTACTATTTAGTCAACTATTAGGCTGTTAAAAATCAGGTCGTTGAAATTAAGCAACGTTTAATTAATTGGGCTAGAATGACGATTTTTAATATATGTTAGAGGTATTCTCTTTTATTTTGTATGGAATTGCTCCGATGACCGTGCAGCTTCTTGGCAGCCAGTACCTACCACTCGCGTCTCCATGTATAATCCTTCAACCTATAACTTTTCGGAGAAAAGCGATAGTGAAATACGCTTTCCTGCCAGTTTCCCTTTTCAGGGAATGGAGAGCCCTGTAATGACATAAACAAATTAGATCAAGAGGATTAGCGGGTTAAAGCCAACCTGGATACATATCTTTATTCAATCCAGGGAGTAATTGAGGCATGGCAATAAGATCTAGCGTTGTCATCAAGTAACCAGACTGCGTGCTTCCTATTGGCGTACCAACGCTCCATAAGTCTCTTTAGAACTTGAAATAGCGAGCTCGCGAATGCAGCCCGCTACCTCAAGTTCGGCGAGCATTTTGTTGTAGGAAATGCCTTTGATATCTGTTGTAAATATTACTGCTACGTCAACTTACCCGACAATGCCACCAAAACCTATTTCTTCTCACGGCATTGCCTTTCTCTGGCCTAGACCTTTACCGGCCAGAGGTAGAAATTAAACTATGCCTCGTGTATGGCAACCTTAGCTCCAGGCGGGTCTCTTATAGATAAAGTTCCGCCAACTGCACGTAGAACACACCATGCGTATTTCTAGCTGCCCTAAAACGAATTCACATAGGATCAACTTCTTACGCAGTTTTCACACTTCCAGTATTTGGATTATATTTCTATAACACGTTACATGTAAAATGTCAGTTTTGGCCGAGCACAAGGCCCTTGGCTTTACACTCTGCTTTTGCAAGAAGCCTTTTCGGTTGTCGCAATGCTTTTTTGTCTTTCGAGTCCTGGTATCTGGTCACTTCTTTACTGCTATTCAATACTCCAATCCTCGTTGTTTTTTTTTTACTATTTACATACTGTGTTTCCGTTTCAGACCTTTTTGCCTGATGTGTTGACCAACTTTCGATGAATTTCCGCATTGCTGTGACCTTCCAGGAAGATAATTATAACTACACGTTGATTTTTGAGACTAAAAGATGTTCATCCTTCTAAACTCATGTCTCTTGGAGTATAATCGAGCGGTTTATTAATGGTTGCCAATCAAATTTCTGTTACGAGCACGTAGCTCAAAAGTTTTTCAATTTCGAGGTAATAGTGTAATGTTAATAAAAGGAAAATGTACATTATGAATATATACCCCATCATGTTCCCAATCCTGTTTGTAGGTTCTTATCTAAATTCGAAGGATATAGGACTTAATTTTATTGGGTAAAGGCTCCACAGAGCTAGAAGGATAGCCGAAGCTCTGTGTTAACCCTTGCTTCTTAAAAGAAAACATCACTGAATCACATGCACTATAAAAGCAGAGTTATCTCTCGTCACTGTAAACGACGAGAACAATCACAGGTATTCTGCCTTAAATCAGTTATAATCTCAATGCGCTATGCAAGATCTTTCGAGAAGTGTTCTGCCGTTTTACTGACAGAAAAGTTATCAAACTTGTTGTAGTTAAATATAAAATAACCAGCGAGTAGTCTTCTGTACTAAATCAATCCCTTGAGATTTTTGAGATCAGCTTTTGTTTACAATTGCCTTACACTGGTCTATTAACATTAACTAATGGTGTAACATTATACATACACTATTCGCTATACAAATTTATCACATGCTACCAAGGAACGCTATGTGGGGGTTCTTATAGTTTGGGCTACATGCCTTTATTATAGACATGCGGTTCACGTTACTCACACGAAATGCTGCGTTGGCTTTTCTGCACCCTGAACGTAGAAAGAACGGTTAAATGCGACTCCGAGGTCTACATAATCCGTCAACACAAATATTACGTAACAATTTAGGGAATAGGTTATTGGATCTGCTGCTGTTTTGAATACACCGAAGAAAAAACATGTCAATCGTGGATTATTCATTCATAAAGCCAATAACCTTTTGCAATTTCGATTCGTAACTCTTATTCAAATCGTCAGCCTGCATTGTGTACGTGATTTTAAGTGGACGTAAGCACCGACCAAGATCTTGTGCAAATATTGCATACAGTAGTGGACTTTAATGTATACTTAGCATAAAATAGTTATAGAGAGTGATTTCGCAATTTCACAAAAATAGCAAACTTTCTGGCAGTGTAGTAGGTATTGCACTACTATAAAATTCGTGCACCAACTTTCTAACGCAGAGTTGTATGGTCCGCAGGATGACTCCCAAAAAAATTGCAATAAATCACAAGCAAAGGTTAGCATTTTCAAGATAATCCTTATTCATGACAAACTTTAACGGGATAGGGCGGATATATCATAATCCATCAGTGAATACCTACATACGTCCACAGTTCCTAATAGTAATAATCGGAACAGGTCATTGTTATCGGAGGCGTTTGGGTACGGAATACAAATTATGTTGTATATTATAACATACTTCTCGTGGCAATTGGTTTATAATTTATTACGCATGTGTAATTATGAAAAAAACATACAATGGATAATAGACCTTCAAAAATTACGCACGAAACATTGCAGCCATAAACAGGAACTGACGTCAAAGAAATGCTCGCAACTACTCACCCGCCGTTGCTTTCTTGTGAGCTGAGTACTCCTTGTTGCAAAAATTTAATATTTTGTGATGGTAACTAAATCACGTACAAAATAATGGCTGATATGTCACAGTACACATCTTCTCAGGTATAATCGTATGGTTCACACGATCGAAAATATTTAAGTAATTAGAGTAATGGCACAAACGTACTTTGCGCTCAAGTGATAATTGTTAATTAAAAGATGATTTTCCTGTTATCTTGCGATTAAAATATAACTATTCATAAAACCAAGCGGTGCAATGCGCTCGTTGCACTGAATTATTAGCCAAAAGAGGCCATCGTGTACCCTAGCTTTGTGGTTCAGACGGCCGCTACTGCAGAAGCGAATGTGCAGTGTATAGGACATCGGCATTTTTTGTGAGTTTTTTTTAGAGTGAACTGTCAGATATTTGAACCGCGGCTAGTCTACCATACGCCAGCAGTAAAACAAGAAAAGTATTTAGCCCTGTTCAATGTAAATTAAGCTAAGTACGCATTAGTTGCTATATCACGCTATGACAATGCAATGGCAGCGGTAGGAATGCACAAAAGTTTACTGAAGCTATTATTTGAGCGGGTGAGTTCACGTTGCACCATTTACTCTTTGCGTGAATGGATATTGGAGTTTAAAAACATTCAGACAACAGAGAAAACTTAAGCTTTAGGCCCAAATATAAAATTATTTATGCACATACCTGGGACCAATCCAAAAAGCATGTAATCTGGATTTGTGGTAAAAAAAAGATCGACATACGAATTTGTAGAACATCATACGCCAGTCATATAGATTAATCAGTATTTTATTTGGGTTTTCGGATTACAAGAAAGTTTTTTATTTCATTTTTTACAGGATTCGATTGGACAAAGTCAGTTCTTTCTTGTTCAGCATCCGGATGGAACCGTCGAAAGGCGACTGAAGGCTGGTGTTAACACAGAGCCCGGTATGACAACCTTAGTGAGCTGAAAGATACAAAGTACTGTCACATTATATACACAGTATGATAAATACATTATTTAAAATAGGAAACTGTCTTGATGAACCGTATTGATTGATAACTGTCTTGGGCGCTAGGTGTTTTTCTTTAAGTCAAATACTGAATGTAGTGAAAGCGATGAGACAAATGGTTTGCATATGCTCAGTGTAACAGTATAAGCTTTAGTTCACGTGATAATTTAAAACAAATGATAGAAACATATAATAATTCGAGACCAATTACTACGCCGGCTGCTTCTAATTTCGGATGGTAGCCAAACATTTATAAACACCATTTGTTGAGAAACCATTTGAAGCTACGGCTACCTTTATTTAGGTACTATTTGTAATAATACTGAAAACACGGCGGATGCGGTTTGATAGCTTAATTGAATGAATATTATTTGGTCTGTAATGCGCGTTCCGCTCAGTACGCCTATTGAATCTAATCGTGCTTGTCTGATTACGTTCAAAGACCACATTACTTTCAACTTGTAGAATTTCACAAAAGCTTTCTTATATATACGAATGTGCATATATAGGGGATAATGGCTAGCTGGAACTAATTATTTGTTTCTGACAAGGAAGTCTGCCCTAAAATGAATTACGCAATTATTATGGATTAAATTGTTTGCAAATTATGAAATAAACACGCTTGTAGGTCCTAAATTTAGTACAGTTCGAATTGCTGGATTTGTTACCGGATAAATACTTCAAATAGAGTTTCCGTTGGATGACAGATGTTTTCACATTAAGTAACTTATGAGAAACATCGAATTCTACTTAATCCACGTATTCCGCAAAAAAAAAGTCGCTTTTTCAGGCAGAATATTATTTGTTGTTCAGTTCGCTTCTTAGTCAATTCACTAGATTAGAATTGTCCAGATGACAATGTTGTATGTTGTACAACTTACTTTTTTTTGAGTCCTTCGGAGAACGCAGGCATCCTTTGAACTAGAATCTAGACAAAGAAAACCCTAAAAACCGTATGACTTCTAACTGATATATACTCATAAGCAAAGTGTTTCTTAGACAAATTCAATTTCCTGTTGCCTAAATTTCACAGTTCACATGCATGGAGCCCCAATATAATTATTACTCCTACTACAATTATTCTTCTAGTACTACTCCTAGTACTACAATTATTCTCCATAGTCCAGTGGGTGCTGATAGCAATTTCAGTGATCCTTTTTCACTAGTCTTTGCTCAGTTGACAAGACTTAAATACTTGGTGTAATTTCTGATGTCGGGCCAAAATACACTTCTTTGACATTTACATGATATCATTGTTATACCTGAATGAGCTTTGTGATGATCGGTTAGGATAAACATATTTGTAAGTTGCAGTCGTTACTTCCTTGTTCAATATACGTTAGCCCATTGTTTTCATAAGCTACACTGAATTTCGACCAGGATCTTAATATAACTTTTTTGATTTTTTTAGTTGATCACTTACTTCTGTAGAAACGAGAGGGCATCATTAATATGAAAATGAAAAATTTTGAGGATGTATTGCTTACACCCAAAACATAGTACGTTTAGTTATTTGCTGTGGTAATGTCTGTTAATAAAGCATGCTTTGAATCCTTAGAACAAATTATGCAGGCGTCTGAGAGGACGAAAATAATGTTGGTAAAAGGAACACACTGGCCTTCTACGTACTACCGAAATAGGCCTGTCTATATTTTCGCGAACACTAGTCTTTGTTGAGTATCTACGCAAATGTATTACTTTTTATTGAAGAAAAGATCAATAATATACGAAACACGATCAAGCTGCTGAAGCAAATACACACAAAACGGGACCAGCCTAGATTACGTAAGATATTAGACAACATAACAGCAAGTTATGGGATTGCGATTATTAATGGTGTTTGTCTAGAAGCGATGAACCTTAGATATACATGCTAGTTGAAGTGTAAAAGTGGCAAATATTGAGATTGGAAAAGTTTTTTTTTAGCGAGCATGTAGAACATGTTTTAAACAGTATCGTTGTGTACATTAATCTCAAAAAGCATTATTTCGCCAGCTTCAACCACATATACAAATTTCAAAAAAAATTTTCGACAGGTCAATTCCGATATAGAAAAAGGTAGCTTGTAAGCGGTGATTACGTTAATCTGCTTTCAGAACACAGATATGAAATAAACGAAACAGGTTAAATGATACAGGTCCATTTTTGATGAGCTTCATCTTACAGCCAGTAACATCAAGACTGACTTTGCGGTGAACTAAGATCTTTAAGGAAAACAAAGGATTTCATTCGCCTCCTTAAAAGCATTCAAGAGAACCTAAAGGGTAGCTCTGCTATGTCGTATGAATGTACTGTGTGCACAAATTTTCCCTGTATGCGTGTAATATGTTTTGCATTAAAATTGAGCATCAGCAGGAGTGATATCCGTGCTTTCGACAATTTTTTGGTTAAAAACCTGTCATGAACAGCGGATAATTGTGTGTGTCGTTTTTGTGGCCAGCGACATCCAAGATACCATTAGATACCATTTTCAAACTCCCGGTGATACACTGGTTGTGACTTTGATCATGTTTCTACTATTGTTAATTATGTATGGTTCCATACGAATTTACAATTCAATAAAGACATTATTATGTTTATACGACTTTTTGAAGAAAAAGTTGAATGCGGATGCAGAAGCTGAAATTTTTTTTGGACCAAGGCTGAACCAGGCCTTAAATACAGGAAAAAGTTTGAATCTGTCGGAAACAGACTCGTGGCCGAAAAAGGGATCAAGTGATTCAACCAATCTGTCATTCCATTTAAAAAGTAATTAAACCTAATGTTCCAGCGATATAATCTGATTTGAATGAAGAAATTGGCCACAAAGATTATAGTCATCCTTTTTTAGGATGCGCGCACTTCTGTAGTGTCCGAAAACAGCTAACATAATGATTAACGAAGTCTTGTTACGACACATCGCGAGCTCGAACATAACTCTATCTTAAAGCAGAGAATTATAACTTGATGTGCTTGTTTATCCTTTTAGTAAAGTCTTTCAAATCAAAAGTCCAAGTTGTGTCCATATTTTTGACAGCGGTATAACGACGACTTCCGGTATGAGTTGAAAACTCTGTGATGGTAGATGTCGCAATCCACAATTAAAGGTAATGATTTAAGGTTTTGCAGTCCGCCATATAATTGTTCAAGCCACTACTATGCGTTTATAATGTTAACTTCTTAATCTCGTAATATTATCGTTTTTTAAATACAACGATGTCAAAAGACACCTGCGGATGTACACGTCATTAAAGCAATATATATATATATATATATAATCTAATGTACTATTAGAACAGTCTATTTGCCTGTTTGTGCGTCCGTATATGTATGTCTGACTCAAACAAGTCCTGTGATGCGATTGCATTGAACTAATTTTTTTTAGAGAGCTAGAGTTTCTTCTTGAAGTCAGCTTCGCTTGTTATAGTCGATTAAAAAAAATATTTTTTGCCGGAGTTTCTGTTCCCTATATATATATAAAACATAATGTTAACTTGGACAAGTTGGTTATATTTTGCAATTCGCTCAACAGCCGCTAAAAATTTGTGAATGGTTTGTTGAAAAATTGTTTGAGTTTCATGCTCTAGAAGATGCGCACATTATAGGATTCAGGGAGAGTTCCATTTGCCATATTTTCTCTCTCTAGCAGTCAAACGGTGATTTTTTGTAAAAATGATTGGAAGTTGATGAATTATGAACCATCGTGGTATATAATTATATCACATTGGTCAGTTGTATGAAAATAGCTTTAATTAAAAAGTTGTTCTTCTAAGTTCCCCAAATAGGCACAACACTGAGCTTCCAAATTTTTTGTTGTCTACTATCCTGGTAAAGTAATTCATGTTTGATAAAATACGAACCATGTTGACGAAATATGAATTAATTTCTTGATTGCATGGATACATTTTCTAAGGGGTAACGTATTCGACTCATAGAAAAAGATAATGATAGTTTAGTTACTTACCAAAGTGGTCCATGAAATATCAGTGAGCTTGACATATTCCATATTCATTGTTTGCACGAGTATTTTTTTTCGGGGCGATTAATTCAGGATTCAGGATCAATTCAAATAGAAAACGGTACGGGATGTCGAGATTACAGCAACGCTGTAATAAGAAAGCGGTAGTAACTGAAAAAGGGTTTTGACTAGATAAAACCCCAAAATGATAGCGCGCGAAAACCGTAAGTTAACTGTGTACGTAAAAGTGTAATAAATATCTAAGAAACGTTAAAATCAAGCTCAGTTATTTCTCCAAATAGCAGATTACGTGTAATACATTAACGGGGTAATTGCAACGGATTACTGGGATATTCATTGCAGCAGTGTAGCCAATGGGTTGCTGGGACATTCAGTTCTGCAAGGTACCAATCCAACCAGGGACATTAAAATATCTGCACCAACGTTGATTAGATCAATGAAATATAATCACTGTAGTAGCAGCCGTATAACAACATTAATATGAAAACGTTTCAGATTGGATACAGTGATGCAGGTCTACGATCGAATTTTACATTAGGCTAGATGTGACACTATACAAATTTATTCAAGTTAGAATAAAATTATGTATAGCAGTTAAAAAGTAATGGGTTGGCCAGGGTAGAATAATTGCAACAGTATAATTGTTGATATATTCGACATAAAATTTACGTTAGGCTAGGTTACCGGCATAAACAAATAAGATTATCAGAGAGGTACTGACATTATTATTGAGGTGAGAGTTTCGTATAATGGGCCAGATACTAGACAAAATGAAACCAAATGCAGAATTGCAGAAAAGCTATTAAAATATTTTAATGGTTGAACCAGACACGTTAGTGAATATTAACATTACTACAACAGAATAACGGAATTGAACGTTTTGCGGAATCTAACAAAAATTGCAAGAAGATCACTGTAAAGATATATATCTGCAATCAAGTTATAGTTCGTTAGGTTAAGCATAACCCGAGTTGAATATACTTTTATTAGGCCACGCTCATAAAATAACTACAAAAGAGTAATGCCTTAGGTGAAGCAAGGTAATTCGATAACTGCTGGTGCATACTTAGTTTACGTTAGGCTGAATTTTTATCAGTCGATCAAATAAGCTAAAGCGCGAGCACAGTTCGTGGATTTTGAGTTTAGTGTTAGGACTCGATAAAAAACCAGATACTGAAATAGATAGAACAGCAGCGTGGTCACAGGATCGTTAGGACATTTTAATGGGAGAACGAACGAACAGAGCAATTGCAACAGAGTAAAGGTTAGTAACAGATTAAGCTAATTAGAGAAACGGGTATCCTGCAACAGGTCAACGCAGTTGTTACTGCAAAATCCCAGGCGAATTTAAATCTATATAAAGCAATTCAGTAAAATAAAATATTAACCTAGGTTTAACGAAAATCAAATCCATTGATATTGTGCCAGGAAACTGCTGCTATAGGGTAACAGGTTGATACATATGTAGCTAGACTAGGTGTGACATCAACAAATAAATTTCTTCAACAAATAAAAACAGCAAAACGAAATGTCGAAGCGCAAGGCAAAAATCGCGGATTCGTTTACTACATTGCAAAAAGTATGTGTCTAGTTCTCTGTTTGTTACCCAAACAACCCTCGTGAATGGTCGCTTCAAGCCGATATTCTTTGGATTTCTAGATTTTCAGCCTGGAATAAGCTGCGCATGTAGCGAATTAAATGAATCATCCTTTTAAGACGGAGGAAGATTTCTTCACCGGAAGAACTTTATATTAATTTGAATAAGCTGCCCATTTTTTGTGATCTGCTTGACAACCGTTGATAAGTTGTAAGAGGTTTATATTAGAAAGTAAGGTTCATTAAAACTCTATATAAAAAGCACAACATTAGAATTTATGGGATTTTTTTGGATTCTTACTTATTTGGTTATGATTTGAACATGCGGTCCAGGTCTATCGTTGGAAATTTTCCAAAGGCCTACTTTACATACGTTTCTTTCTAGTTTTCACAAAACAAGCGCAATATGGAACATTTTTAATATTTTACGTTTTTGCGACTTACTTCTAAAATAGTTATTTTAGTCGGGTAGTTGGAAGTTGGTGAAATATAAATTATATTCTTCAGGTGAATGCATATATTTAAAGTGAACAGGGTTTCACGGTAACTGCAACCGAACAATGTTGGGCTGTAGTCAAGCAATAGTTTATGTTGCAAAACCGTTATATTATATATTATATATATATTATAAAATTTATATTTGAGACCAGATATGTGGAGCCGAGTAAAGGCAACGAGAATGTTTCTAATAAAGTGACAGAAGTTCGTTCTACAACGCGATAGCTACAACAAGGTTACAAATGGTGTAATACAAATGAAATTCGTTCATATTAGGGCATGCTGGTAAAATAACTGTAAAAAGCTGGTGAGTTAGGTCGGGCAACGAGATAACTGCCGGGATATATATTAGTGAAGTCTATATTCCAGACTGGGTGTAATATCGAGAAGCCTAATTAGTCAACGCAACGACAAAACAAGCGCGGGTCGAAACCCGCAGATTCACCAAATATTCATCGAACATATGTAGGTAGTTCTATCACATTTATGTACTTTGAGTTTTATAAAACTTCCTAATCCCTAGACGTAAAGTATACCTAGACCGCTTGAAAGGTAACGTTGTATGTTGCTAGAGGGCGTTTAAGCGCTTGGCAACCAAGGAATATTCTGACCTAGAAAATGTCAAGAACACCAGCTTATTACAGTGAATCAGTGAGAAGTGAGGGAAAATTCTCTGGTGAAATGGTTCATTGGCTGTTGCAGCGGTATTAGAGTAGTTCCAAGTCCTGTGGAGGTATACCTATATACGTAAATTACCTAACTACCCATTTATTATTATATTATACTAAGTAATATGAATCTCGAATCGGTCTGACAGGTAGCTATAGACTCTATAGCTATGAAATGTCCTTATGCTGAAGTACGAGTTGTAGATCATGTCTCTATGGGAACTATACATAAGCAAACGTATTTTTTTATAAACTTGTGTGTAGTGAGTTCGTGTCATTTATTATGAGAAGTGGGACATGTTATACGTGAATTACATTACATTCTCTGTATTAGGTGTGCATTCGACGCTCTTTCTTGACCAATGGGGAAAGGCTTCCGGCTCGGAAGGCCCACCGCCCCTCACCCTTTCGCCGATCGAAGAGTTTGATCCCAAAGGAAAATCGAATGGAAGTCAACCACCTGTAAATGGAGTGCCAAGTCACATATCGAATCACACTATCCAAAACATTGCAAGGAGAAAAGGTATCATCGGCACGATCTGTCATACTGTGATTTGACGGCTTGGCCACTAGCGCACATGTCACACTAATCTCCCCTATATCTCTATCTGTGTGTTTTGATGTGCGTTTATGAAACATGACCCATAGACATCTCTTTCAGGGTAATATGATAAGCGCTTTTTTGGCATTGTACGTGTGAAACAAGCATACTTTAATAGAAAGAACATGCTTACAGCACAAATTAACACTTTTTACAAATATTTTAATATTTTTGAAAGGAACACTAAGGTGTCTGAAAAACTTTTTATGCAAGGCATTAATTATACGTATATAAAGAAATTTTAAGTGTCTGTGCTTTTTCAGGAACAGGGTCAACATATTATAGACACCTGTAAACAAAAATTTTGAATAGAAGAATTAAAGAAAACCCTTAGGCTCTGGTGACGTTCCAGAAAAATAAGCTTTAAAACCAACTTTATCAATCCTTACGTCTATTAGAAGTCTGCCAAAAGCTGACTTGATTTACACGCATTTCTAAGAAGCTAAACAGCGGCTAGCACGTACCTGACAACATGAGGACATATAGCACACACGTTGGTCGAACCCAAAGACAACATACCAATCAAATGTCGAATATGTAGTTAAATAGATGTATTATTTGGTAAAATTTGTAAATATTCATATGTAACTACTTTGAATATATATACATATGAACTACTCAAATCCTTTGATGTCCGAGGAACAAAATACATCAACCTAAACATGATTATCCTAAATATAAGAATATTTAAGCTTCCGAATTTTTTATTGCGAACATTTTTTTCATTCTTCTTTAATTTGTTATTCATTATATCAAACGTGTAAATGTTACCAAATTCTTTATACCATGGCGACGTCATGAACAAAGTCATTTTATACAGTATGTATAAACCTTTATAGAAAATATTAGAAAAACATAGAACATAGTTTAGCGTTGGTAGTGTTTCAGTAACTGCAACATCTATTAAATGTTGATTTACATATGTATATTCCTGAGAGGTACGTCAAAAACTGCCATATTCGACAATGCTGCGGGAAAAAACAGATAGAAATTGTCATTAGTTGGTGGTATTCTCTGTAGACTTTAAGAAACATATAATTCAGGCAGATGTGTTTAGTGCTCATAGTAGCCGTCATAATATAAAACAAGTATGATAAAAATAGAATGTCTTGTTTTCAAGAAACATGCGAACAATTTACGATGTAGACACTATTGAGTGTAACCGCGTGACTAGGGAGCAGATATGTCTGACTGGCATGCATTATAAATTTACCTACTGTAAAGAGTACCCACTAGTACCAGCACAAATGCTATCTATTCGAGCCAGCCTGTCCTTATACAGCTATAACGACGAAAATCTAAATAAACTGGTGCGAGTCCCCAAACCATGTATGCGTCCCAACGTACGGCCTAGAGCCGAACTCGCCTTTCCTTATTGTTCACGCACAATGTGACACCCAGTTGACAGTGGTTCACGATTTGCCGTACTGAGGTCGCACGATTATCTTCAACATCGTCAAGCTTGTGCGTCTGCGACGTTTGCTCAACACGATGGAACCAAAGCTTTTGTCTCAGCTGTGCGGATCGTGTTGGCTGACGCCAATGCGTCTCGACCTTTTTTACAGCTACTGAGTTCAAAAATGGCTGCTTCGGTGGCGACTTCCTTCACACAAAAAGCCACAATTATATTTGAGGAGCAATATATAGAGCTATAGCGATGGAAATGTTTAGGACTATTGGTACGGGTCGCGAGCTTACTATACCCTACTGCCTGTATTCTTGGCCGTTACATTTATTTACAGAAATATTTACAGAGTAAGCCCTGAAAATGAACTTATGTTCGTGTAGGAGAACGTTGTTTCCTGAGAACACATATTGAAGAAGTTACGGGGGCAGTATTTTTGACGAAGATTAAGTATTCAACGTAAGCAAACGTCGAAAAGTGAAGTACTATAATTATAGAACCGGATGGTTCGGACAAGTGCAAAAAAGGAAATACCTTAGTGTAAATTTTTGTATTGCAAGTTACCTTGCTGAGCTAAATAACTGGATATTTTAACTAATATCCAACCCTGTAATTCTCCCGGAGCTAGAAACAACATATCGATATTTCTTAACTTAAAACAATTTCTTATTTTTAATGATTACCGCTATAACGGAGACTAACTTAAAGCGGAGTTAAACATGCGTCCTATGACAAGCGCTTATCCGCAAGTTTACCCTGCAATTTGGCTGAGGGGATTAAAGTTGTGAGGCAGCAATGACTAGAGGAATATTATTGACTCAACTCTTGCGGAGCGGAAGCAAATGAAAAAAATGTTGGCATTAATAATTAGGCAATCAGCACTCAGCCATTTTTCACTTTCAATAAAATCAAAATGAGCCGTAGCAGCAAGATCTGAAATTTTTGGTTCACTATTAAAATCAGACGTACGACCAGCATAAAGTACCTTTAACTGAGGTTCAAAACATTGATACTCTCATTGAAAGCCAAAGATAAAATAAAGGAGAATAGTTGACATACTTATGAAAGAAACGCACGGAGATACTCAAGGTCATGATAAAGTATTCTGTAGGATTTATACAGGTATCAATGTGCGTTAGGCCTTTATTATGTCTATTCTTATCAGTTTTGTTAATTTAAATCAGGCGTATAGATCGGTGCTCCTCGGTGCGACCCTAGTTTAAAAAATAATTACTTATTACATTTTTCATAAAGCCAATTGAAATTCAGTAGTGCCAGAGTATCGGGATCACCGCTACCGACGCCTAGTTGCTAAGATATTAACACCTAAGGTTTGATAAAAATTTGGTACTCTTATTGTAAAGTCAGCTATCACTACCAAAATCCTTGTATCTAAAAGTGAGATAAATTGAATACGGTCCACATGGAAGACCTCATACATATGCACAAGGTAGCGATCTCAAAATACTAATAAACTGAAAGTTCAACCTTCGGTGTTCTTCACCTCTTTTATTTCTCCGCTATGTGTTTACTCTATATACCATTTCCAGAGATCAAGCAAGGCATAGCGGATATGTATTCATTCGCTATCAGTGGCAGAAGGCCAATAAACAAAACCGGTATGGCAAAAGACAGTACATGTTTCTCAGAATTTGCGCGCAAATTAGCTATTATCCAATATTCCCGCACTGAACAACTTTTACAAACACTAAATTTACCGATAACTCGAAAGCGACGGCCAAGTCGAAAAACCGTGATTTAAAGTTTAGAATTAAAAGGCCACTTTTGATACATGTTTTCTACTATAAAAATTAACAGTTGTTCTGGAGAAGAGAGTATCAAATGTTAATTAGCCAATTGCAGATTAAAAAACTTTTTTAAAGATGGCTTCTCAGTGGATTAGATCTAAACTGAAGATGCAATTGTGATGAAAAACACGAAGTCGTTAGTCAAAAACTGACAATAAACAGGGTAAGGATTAGGGATTTTATGCACTAACCGCGTTCGAATTAGGAGCTGTTTATTATTTGCATTCTAACCGCAATACTCGGCCATGGGTACCAGCCATTTACCAACTGTACTTCCACAGCATTCGTGCGGCCCTATTACAGCCGAATCTTTCGCAATTCGGTGCCCGAATTGCTTGATACAAGGCCTTTTAGCTGCCTACCTTCCTAACAGCTGGGCGCTATCGCCATAGTCTTGTAAGGGCCCTAGCGGCCTCGCGTTTCCGTCCATTGTTTTAGTACGTACTCGTCACTTCTTTTCGTAGGGTTTTTATACGATATATGGCCGCATGCGGCACACTTGACCGACAAGGGAAACGCGTGTTTTCCTTGTCGGTCAAATCTTTCCCGACTACATTAATCTTTCGCGGCAAAACTCTCGCTTTGCTTCAGCATTGGCAATGACTTGGACCACATTACCGGTACTAACGGTTGCCCCGGGAAGTTACTTTTTCAAGTATATATATA